AGAGAAACGGTCCTATCTCAGCAGAGAATCATAAAACGGTTGTAAAACTGTTGTGTTCTGCTGAACGCAGCCATTGACGCGACAGCGTTCGCGACGGCTTTCGCGACGATGTTCGCAACAGCGTTCACGAACGGTTCGCAACGTTCTGATACAAGTCTATACACGGGTTAACATGCTTTCGCCCTCTGAGTTGATATGATCATGCCTTAGTGCGAGGGGGTAACCGCTTAATGTAATCTTGGGACAGAGTCCTCGAAATCATTATAAAATTCATATGAAATCTCTACGTATAATCCGATAATTACATATCCAACCACGAGAAATTATTGTATAATATTAAAATTAATTAAAATCGTATATTTTATCAAATTACTTCATATGTAATTACTTCATAATAAAAATAAAAGTGAAAAAAATTATTTTTAATCAGATGAAATCATATGAAATCATGTAATCTGCGGGACAATATTTCAGCTAGTGGTTACCCCCTCGCCTTAGTGTGTGTGTGGCTATTGGTCACGCCAGACTGCCAACAATGGCGAGTCGCAAGTATTCGTGAATTTACTTCACTCATGAGATTTTAGTTCTGGTATATAGTACATATATCGAATAATAGGACGTTAAAGACATAAATTATAAGATAAAAATATAAACCGATACTGGATGGTAATGTGTAAAACTTAAATGTATTATTAACAATAATTGACGATTACAATCGTTTTGACCACAATTTAGATCATCTCTTCAGTGTAACGAAATATTAACAAATTTAAATATTGAGCCAGGGTTGCTACAGAAAATGAATTTAAAAATTCTCTGATTTTTCCAGGTTTTCTAGATAAAATAGAAAATTTTCCATGAGTGTAATATAAAATATGTAAATTTTAACATTTAAACTCACGGATTGTAGGAAAGCTAGTCTATATTATTAAAAACAACATAAAAAAGCTTAGTAGCATAGTGTGGGTGCAAATTCAAGTCACAGCAAAAAATAAATTAGTTTTGGGAAAAAGAATGCAGTTATGACGAAGGAGAGGGATCAAATAAAAATACTGAATAAAAAATATAAATTTTAATTATTAAAAGTGTTTAAAGTGCACAAGTTTTGAATGTAAACGTCAGATATATTAAAAAAATATTATAACATATATTATAATATTATAACATACATAATATTTAAAAAATTATAACAATTATTTGGAATAGGAGCAGTTTCAGGGAATTGTGAGCAAATTTCGAAATTCCAGACTTTTTTACATTTTCTCCTGACTTTTCTCGGTTTCCATGACCAATTTCAATTTTCCTGACTTTTCCTGGTTTTTCCAGTTTCCCAGGTCTGTGACATCCTTGTGAGCATTACATTACATTTTGATGTAATATAAACGAGGCATTTTATAGAATTAAAAAGATATGTCGCAAGTATAAATTAAGTTAGTAAGTAATCGTCTATGAATAAAATCTTTAATCGTCTATTATATTTGATAAAATACGTATTTCGATAGTCGGATATCAGGTACGGCCTCAAATCAGCTGCTTACCTGTTGCCCCGCCTATTGTTGTGTATATACTCAATATCAATAAAACTTACTGTATTTCTATTTGTTTATTTTATATTTAACCCTTGAATACCACACTATTTTCGCCACCTGATTTCACCACACATGGGTTACGGTAACCCTGGAATCTTTTTTTGCTTTTATCTCGGGATCTAATGCATCAATTTAACTTTTTCTTTTTAATCGATACAACAGTAAGGAAAAAGAATATATAGATAAGAATATCATAAAACTTCCGAAAATCAAGATATTTTGAAAAAAAGGAAAAAAAAATTGTTTGAAAAAAAGGAGAAAAAAATTGTTTTTTAAATAAATTAGTTATTTTCCAAAAAAATGATACAAGGTTTTAATTTACAGAAATCGAAACGTATTAAGTTGTATTTTAAGAAAAAAAATACATTATTACGAATTATCCTAAAAAATATATTTATTCGATGATGTTGAATTTGGGTGATTTTCAAGTAATACGATAAAGTTAGTGCAAAAGTCTTTATTATATGACATCTAAATATACAAATGAAATTATTCATTGATTTGCGTGGAACAGGCGAAACAAATTTTTGCGACATGTTCCCTACACATTGGCTGTTGGCACTGCAAGCATATGTAATAAGTTTTCCTATCTAAAGCCCCTTTACTTTAAGACAGAATGAACATCTTCTTTGTTTTTCTATTTTGTTTACAAGCTAATATATCACGCGGATCTTAATTTTCTGGAATGTCTGTGTGTTTCATGAATTCTTCAATTTGAATTCGCAATCTTGTTCGTATATTTATTTACAATTTAATTTCGAAATAAAAAACGTAATAACCACACTGGGTTAGCGTAACCTACACAGTAAGTTCATGGCGTTCTATCTCGACTGGTTCATGCACGCTGAGGTTGCCAGGCGGGGGATTTGTAGTAAGGATGCGAAAGTTTTTTTTCCCCCCCTTGTTTCCACTCCACATTTCTGATCGTTCATAAACGCCACGCGTTTTTTCGAACGGACTGAGTTACCATAACCCACGGTGGTGTCCAATGGTTAATATTAACAGTTGCACTTAATAAAGTTATTATTATTATTGTTATTATATTAAAATATTAAACACACAATAGAGAATATCTCAGTTCAATTTACTAAAAAAAAGTATATTACACGTTTATCTTGGAGACCTTCCAGATAACACAGAGAGTTCAAAAAGGATTTAGTTATTATGTCATTAATTTAGAATTCATTTTCAGACATAAAAAGAATTCTTTTTTTGAACAATTCTGAAAAATTTTTTTTTGCATCTGAAAATGAACTTGAAATTGATGACGCATGACTGAATTCTTTTTGTGCTACCTGGGCTTAGCTCGTATCAAAAAGTTATTTCATTAGAACACAATTAAAGAATCTTTTAATGATGCGCCTTTTATTCTATTTTGTGTGGTTCTTTAAATTTAAGAAATTTAACTCGTTGCGCAATGACGCTTCATTTTCGTTCAATTAATAGAAATAAGGATTAAATGTTTTACGAGAAAACGATTGCCAACAAATTGTGACAACTTTTATGATAATAAATATGCTACAGCATTTTTGTTCACATTTGTGCAAATAACATGTTGTTTACATAATATCTTTAATAAATTCAAGCCACAGCAAAAAATAAATCAGTTTTGGAAAAAAGAATGCTTCTAATTAATACTTTTAAGTTGCTCTAAAAGAAATTATTATTATCCTGATGAGAATAACATGATGACAATTGAAGGGAAACTTGTACTAAGCATCTATTTTCTTTCTTATATCAAGATACATTTTATTATCTGGGAAGTTGCTTGATATAATTATTTCCTTTCAGTTGCCATCACGTTGCTGTCATCGGCACAATAATAATTTCGTTAGGTGACCTAAAGGCATTATACGGACAATATAGTTGCCTACATAAACGAGCAGAAATACGGTAGCAGACTTATTGCCATAGAAGTTGTTTGCATAATATGTTTTAGATTCAAAATATTTAGTTTACATTATAAAAAAAGTCTTGTTGCATTAATTGGAATTCTAGTAAATTTAATCAGACAGGTACAATATATAGTTAGAGTTATCAAATATTCTGGTCAAAATAATTAGAAATTCAGTTACAATAATCAAAAAACTGATTCATATGATCAGAGTTTGTTTTGTTTACAATATAACACTTCTTGTTGGTATGTACAACCAAAATATTTTTCTCAGTGTATTTCCATTCAATTGACGGAAATGTTGGCTAAAAATATTTTACGAAAACGATTTTCAATAGATTGTAGCGACTTGTACAGCAATAAATATGCTATAGTATTTCCACTCGTTTGTACAAGTAACTATTGTCTGCATAATACGATAGTATCCCAGACATCACAAAATATTTATGATAAATATTTATTAATATTCATTTTTTGAAATGTTACGTAGATATCTCATACATATTTTATATAAGCTTTATTCGAAATATTATTAAAATATAGACTAAATGTTTTATGTAATATTTTTGGTAAATATACATAAATATTTCTAATAAGTATTTTTTACTTGGATTATAAAGTATTTTTAAGTCTTATTAAGTATTTTTACAGCATTTACTATAACATTTGCAATAAATATGTCATAATATTTATAATAAATGTTTATAATTTGTGCAATCTAAGATCACAAAGATATTTACAAAATATTTCAAATAAATTTTATAAATATTTATAAATATTTTGGAAATATTTTATAAATATTGTATGCTGACTGGGATACTTTAATGAATGATAACTAAAGGGAAATTTGTACCAAGCAAATATTTCCATTCTTACGCCTACGAACGTTTGATTATTTGGGTTTTCTTTTTTATGGTTTTGTGCTATAGACTTACAATATTTTAACAGTAATATACTAATAGTAAGCTGTATAAATATGTATATTTTTTATAATACGAAATATCTGTACTTTTGCACATTGCTATCGATGAACAAGGTGTTGCGCATTACATGAAATTAGTAAAAATGCAATTTTATTATATATCATTTAAAAAATTTTATTTATATAACATAATTATTAGATAATATATAATAAATTGCTAAATTTCTATTCTGAAGTATGTATATACATATATATACATATATATATACATATACACATTAATTACAATATAACAATATTTTGTTTAAATTAGATCCAAATCAAGAGATATGTGTAAATATATTTAATTTAAAAAATCAACATAAATTTTTATAAGTTATTATTTTTTTTGTAATACATAGAAATAAAGCATTTAAAGTCTACTTATTCCATACCTAATAAGATTGTTCTCTTTTTAGAAATAAATAGAATAACTTTATTACTTGTAAAAGTTCTTAACTAAACACGATACTTAATTTAGAAGACAGAACAAGTGATACTTTTTCTTGTCTTTTGTTTTTTATGTACTACTTCATCTTTTTATATTATACGCTGTTATTTCTTGTTACAATATATATTCGTTGCTTTTACGTAAGACATGTATAATCTAATTTAATAAAAAAATAGTTATATTTGATGCTGCTGTGTGGCATTAATCACTTTATTATTACTATCTTGATAAGAGAGAAGTGGCATTTTCGTGTCGCGTCTCTTCATGTTTCTTTGATTCATCGAAGCTTCAGATCTGTAACTGGTGAGAATATCAATAATTAGAAACAAGATATCAAGATTTTTTTCTAATATCAATAATTAGAAACAAGATATCAAGATTTTTTTCTCTAATATCAATAATTAGAAACAAGATAGTAAGATTTTTTTATCGATTATAACGTTACGTCTCTTCGTATAAATTTTCGTATGGAGTTTGATCATACAAAAAACGAAAAAACTCATCGCTCTACGACACGTGTACGTTCTCGTAGTTTACGTAACTCGCATGCTACGAGTTACATGCGCATTGGAGTAAAACGCGCAAGAGATTTTGCGAGATACGGCACATCGAACGGTCTCGTAAATTCTATTCACCTATGATAAGAGTCCTGCCGTTGTCTCTGCGGCCAAAGATGAAACGCGCCATATATCAAAGGATTTACCAAGCTGTTGCTCATACCGAAGAAAAATATTCCGTTCTGTAGCTCCGCGCTGAGCTGAAAGGCATTCAATGTTTGTTAGCATTCGATGTAGACTTTTCAATATAGCCTAATCTAATCTCTCTGTTGTTACTATCAAAATACACTAACGTGGTCATCCGGATTGATAAACAAGAGAATTATCATCATCGTATAATACGGTGTCCACCAAATTAGAAATGCCGCTACGATGACGACGCTGATCCGCAGTGATTTCGTTTTTGCCCTGTTCATCAGTCTTCTCCTATTTAAGTCGATGTTTATGTAGGTCTTTGTTTGATCCATTTTAAAATTTCTCCGACTTCCTGTTCAAGGAAAAAATTCATTTCTTTGTATGACCCTAAAAAAGGAATTTTCGGTGTGTTCATAATCCATTTTTATTTCAAGATTGTCTTAAGTAACATCTTAAGATGCTAATACAGCCTTCTGATTAGTTCGTAGCATCTTAATACTTAAGACGATCTTGAATATAAGAATTGACTAGGAATACCGGTCTTTAGAGGAAAGGCCCCTATTATGAGATACCGAGTACGTTTTGAGTAAATGCTAGAAGTATATGGGCAGAATTTAAAAAAATAATAGGTCATTTCGAAGAGAATTTAATAAGCTTTAAGATAATGTTATGTAAAATTTAATTAAAATTATATATTTTTTTTATATTAAAGAAATGTAAAAAGTGTGCAAATCGCAAAGACAACAAATTGTGCTCCTAATATGAGATGCTTCAAGAAATCGATAATAAAACCCAAGGTACACCGGTATTGCAATTAAAAAACTTTATTTAATGTTTCTAAAATACGAATAAACATAGCCAGCGTGCGAGCAAAATGAACATGCAATGCATTGTACCCAGGATTTGTCTTCAGTTGGAACCAACCAGAAACAGGCACTCGATATTCATTCCGGTTGTCCTTTTTATTATTGCACAATAACGCATTCCTTAGCAATGATTTTCACTATGATTACAGGAATATAGGTTATTTTATATTAGAAATACCTTGGATATTTTATATTACTATTTCCATGCCTTACAGTTTTACGATTATCAAATCTAACTTCTGTAATTAAACAATTCAACATATCCCGTATTTTTCTATTAATACGATCTTGCTCTATCATTACATGAAGAATTTATTGCCAAATACAGTATTTACTTATTAAATAATAAACAAGATTTAAAGGCTTATCTCAATGAAACTTGAAGACATCCAAATTCTGAAATCTTTTTTTACAACGACTCTATAGGCATGATCTAATAATAAATTTTCCACTAAATAGTTTTCAATCCAAGAACAATAAATTCTTGATGGAACTAATAGATAGTTATTAGTTTACAGAAACGCTGCTATCTCATATTAGGTGTCTATTTCATCTTTCCTCTATATCTTTGAAACATAATATAGCACAGAGTATTTCAATAATATTACAGTAACACTATAACTTTCCTGTAACATTGCAACGTTGCTGGAATGATCCGTGATATATCGGATACATTTGATCAAATAATTCGAATGGTTTTTGAAATTTTTTAGAAAATTTTTCCTTTAATTTTGATACCTTATATCTTTGAAACTAAGTCGTTTTGGACATATCAAGTTTTCGTTCTGAATTTATATGAGAAATTACTTTTTAAAATCTTTTCGAATATTTAATATCACCCTGTATAAGCTAGATTAAATAAAATTTATTGTAAAATTACAGTATATATATATATATATAAGAATAATGAATTATATTTCACACACATTGTACGTTTTATCGCAATTATGATTTTGTATATCTAATGCAAAAATTATACTTACGGGAAATAGTGAGCACAGTGGATACGTAAGTAGTAATTAAAATTGCTAATGGCAGAAGGAACATGAAGAATAGGCTGAAACTTGCGTAGAGTTGTTCCTGCCAACGCTCGGTGTAAAAGCCGTGAGTCACACATTGCATAAATTCTTCGACAAATGGTCCTTGCACAACATGAAATATCGCGATCTGAAAAAAAATCGGTATTCAAATATGCAGACATCAATATTAACGAAATATGTAAATAAAATAATAATAGCATGTACATTGATTAGGTTAATTAGGTTCTACTTGCAGATTCAAGAAAGAAAATACAGAATTTGCGAAAAGTCCAAAAATTCAAAGATTTGCGTGTGTAAAGATAAAACATAAATAAAAGAGAATGTTAAAAAAAGTCGATTTTTAGGAAAAGGAATAGTGTTTTTTTAATAGATGTCGACCTTCTTTTATAATAATTTTAATAAAAAGTTCGGGATTAATAACACCTTGAAAATTGAACATGAACAGATATATTTAAATTTCAATATTCTTGCTTACTTTTCAAGGTGTTTTCAAATGCCGAATTTTTAAATAATTTTTTATATTCAAAATCTACAAAAAATACTATTTCTTTTACTTACATCTTTATGGGTAAAAATCAGCCTCTTTTTAACATCCTTAGTTAATACACATAAGATGTATTACGAAAATATTTATAAGATGTTAACCCATATTTTTAATTTTGATTTAAACGGAAGATTAAAATAAACGTGGGCTGCTTGGAAAAATATAAAATTCCATTTATAAATAGAACTATATAACATTTTAAATAGAATTATATATATTTTTTATAATATATAATATAATTTTTAAATTATTTTGTATATACATATACATAAAAGTACTAAAGTAGAGATATTGAAAAATTAACAATTTATAGAGTATTTTTTATATTTTATTCTGGTAAATTACGACATGTAATATAAAATATCTCGTAAACTATTAATTTCTTGATACTTTTACGTACAGAATAGTGCTGGTTGATTAATCACTTATTTTGAATATTAAAAGTATTATTAAAACAGTACTATTAACAGTCCTTTAGCTATTTAAATTTCTATAAGGAATTGCGCCTCCATGGGCAGTATTCATAGTCTGTTTTTATTTTAAGACCGTCTTAAGTATACCTTAAGACGCTAATACAATAACTATCTGATTGGTTCATGACATTTTAAAACTGTATTTAAGGCAGTCTTAAATATTCGACTATGAATACAGGCCAAAGGGTCGTATTAGCATTTCAAGACATTACTTAAGATAATCTTGAATAAGAATGGACTATAATAAATATCGGCCTTTGCTTTAATAAAAATTGATTAGGAATATCGGCTCATCTATTCATTATAATGTCTATACCAGGGTTGGTAAAGACTAATGTTTTTTTTTTAAAATAAAACATATTATGTTTCTTCTTGAATATGTTTTTAATGTTTCAAATATGCTTTGAACAGTACTATAAAAAAAAACATATTTAAAACCTATTAAAAACATCAATTAAGCATGTTTTAAACTGTTTAAAACACGTTTAAAACATTTTTTTTACCAACCCTGGTCTATACATATACTAATAGCGTTTTCGACTGTAGCTGGTTTGCATCAACCTAGGTTGGATTAATACTCCATTGGTTGACGTTATATGTACTATATACTACCAATAGTAAAGCATATAACATCATTAATTCAACCGAGGATTGGTGCAAACCCGCTATGTCGAAAATGCTGTATGCCATAGGAATAAGGAATAGAGCTAATATCATTCAACATCATTCACCATGATTCAACATCATTTACTAATTTCAGCTTCATTTTTCATGGTTATTCTCTGTTAAACACCATGGAGCTAACATCACTTTAGACATTCATTTGTAAACGTTTATTCATCAACGTTGAACGTTTTGACGCTACCGCGTTTGGTAGATCAGCTGACTTGCAAATTCGCCGTGTTTCTTCGATAAAGCCGGAATACTGAAGCGAGAGATGGTACAAAGGTTACCGTGAATGTTGCCGTAAAAAGAATTTCGTGGAACAGGAGAGGCACATTAATTAAACGGGCCGTTTGTCTCTCGGCTTGTCAAGAGATAGGTATACGTCTGTCATTAATCTTCACCACACGGACCGTGTCTCTTTCTTTCGTCGCCACGACAGCATTGTTCCTTGACTGGGCTCACGATCTTCGTCCTTTCCGACCCTAACTCGTCGCGTGACCTCGACAAGAAGACACATCAGGCCAATCTCAAAGACTTTACATTCGCCTTTCAGCCGATGCACTTGACACCTCATTAAATCTATCTAGAATTGGTCTCATCTCGCGGACGGGATAACGCTCGATCGAATTGCAACGTCTTCCTCGTGTCTAGTACAGCATCTATCGTCATACTTATTTTACAGATATGCTAATGCATATGAAATACGTGTCTTTGCTGCTTATCATGTTTATTTTTTTCTGGAGACACATCTCCCCGTGTAAGCAAGAGACATTGATAATGACGATATCCCTCGGTAAACATCAATTAACAGTAACATATATCAATATAATTTTCAATAATAGAAATATAATATAATATAATATGTTATATGTTATCTTTGAGTAGGAAATTATAATATTATTATATAGATAGATACGTTGTTAGATATCAAAGGAGCAACAATAATCCAATCTCTTGAGTTAAATAACATTTTGTTATTTTTAACTTTTATATTTTTGCAAAATATAAATCAATCTATTTCTATGATTAGTTTCAAAGTAAATATTGTCCATGTTAATGTATGCATTTAGTGAAACATAAATAAAATTTGAATCATAAATACATTTTCTTGAATTAAATTGTTTAATTCCATTGTTGTAATCGAATTAACGATATATTGGGTAGAAACAGTGACGATCTATAGAAGTGATTAAAAAATAATTAAAATTAAATATAATTTGATATTATAAGTTTAATAGTGTACAATTAGAGATATACAGTTGAGTAGGAAATTGTATAACACTGTACATGCAATATTAATTGTGTTTACTGGGATTGAGTTAAAAATAATTTATATCAATACGATCATTTTATGAAAGCTTAGAATATGATACAAATCGATTTTGAATTATATTTAAAGGTTATTTAATTAATAAAGAGAGAAAATTTATTTTTTTCCCAACTTTGTTAATTCAGAATTTCATCAACATGGCATATTATCTAACCGTGAAGATCCTTGGTTTAATAATTTCTGCGATCAAGAATCTTCGCGAGCTCAAAGGATCTACGACACGAGAAATTCTTCACTATATTACATCTGTTTATAAAATTCCGGCTGCTGTGGCACGACGTCAGGTTTATATTAATAACATTTCACGGTTTTATGAAATGAAATAATGTGAAATAGAATGAAATAATATGATATGTCTTTAAAATTTGTTTTAATTTTTTATATACCATATATATACAGGGTGTCCCGACCTTTTTTGCCGATCACTTTTGTGTAGATAGAGTGGACTAAACTGAGTTGAAAAGTCCTCTACCATTTTGCAATTTTCGCAATAGTTAACAAAATATTAATTACTAAAAATTGCAAAATATTGGTCGAATAATTTTTTACTCAAATACTATCAACTTTACAGAAAAACTGCAAGAGACAAAAATTATTTGTTTTCTTCTCGAAGTTCTGAGAATTTTTTTAGAATTTTTTATCAACTTTTTAGTATTACATTTTCTTATTTTTACCAACATGAAAAAATACGGTATTAAAAAATTCT